TTGCAGGCTGAGAGAGATGTTAACTATAGGAGGACCTCCCTTGAAGTACACAATAATTATCAAGTTAGGAGATATTTGAAGTCTAACGGAATGCAAGATTGTCACCAGACCTAGACCTTTCTCTCCCAGGTTTACTCTATCTACACCTCTAAAGGTAATAACATTTGCACTTGAACAGTCATAATACTGATACATGCAATAAAATCCCAAATCAATCTAGAAAGTTAAAAGAGGAATCAGAATGTCCTCTTCTTCCCAAAAACACACATTATAGTATCTGAAGGTCACTATGAACAGCAACGGTACATAAATCAGACAATTTGCAGAAAGCCAGAATATGCTCATAATAAAACTAAAGGAAATAGAAAAGCAAGGATGTAGGAGTCCAGTCACCATTGTGAGCAATAACAATTACGTCAAACTGTCCACGGGGCTTTCCATTCTCACTTAAGTGCCACATCCCATTAAATGGCTCAAGTTTACTTATCCAGCAAGGTCTCACAACATCAACCAAAGAAGTCTGCATCAAGCACTAAAACTTATTCACTGTAAGCAAAAGATTGCTTCCTAAATCTAGTTTGGGATTTATTGTAACCATTCCATTTTATTTTTTGGATAATGTATGACCACTCTGAAAATGTTGCATAAAAAAAGAAAAAAAAAAAAGATCAAATATTGTAAAGTAGCTAGGACAAACAGTTCATTCTATGATCTGAATGTTTAAGTGGTATATTAGAAGTTTCTGCTATATTATTCCCTCTCCTTTCCAGTCATACTATCCCATCAAATCTTCAATACAAGAATCTCATTTCTACTAAAACAAAATCCAATAAATAATTCAGAAAGGTAAAAAAGAATATCAGAACCTAGTCACCTGAGATATCAATGAGTCAGCTAATGGACGCATTCCATCAACACCTATAAACCTTGGCAGTGACGAAGGAAGTTGAGTGAATTGTCCACCCATTTCAAGTACACCAACAACACCTTTCCATTGTTGAATCAAACCTTTTTCCAACCAACCATCAACCAACTTGGCAAACTTAGAATCACTAACTGTAAAGAATTGAGCTGCATGATCAAATACTAGTTGTTGAGGATCAATGACTCTAGTTCCCATTCTTCCTCCCAAACCATGCATCCCCTTTTACAGAAAAGCACAAAGAAAAACTATTAATTGCTTGTAATAGAACTAAAGCAAGGCTATCAGCACTTTAAACAGCAATGGTAAATAAATCACACAGTCATCAGAAAGCAAGAATATGCTCGTAATAAAACTAAAGGAAATAAAAAAGCAAGGATGTAGGAATTAAATCACCTTTGAGAGCAATAACAATTACAGCACTATGGTGCTCTAACCTAAATCTAAATTAGTGAAAACTTAAAATGTATAGCAATTTTCTCCCCTAACCAATAGAGATAAACTCATTGCTTACTAAATGAATTAAATGTTCTCACTTTAATCTACAAATTATGCAGTGATATACAGTCTAAAATCCATACTGCTCAACAAGTTAAATGTTCTCACTAAATGAATTAAATATTCTCACTTTCTTATGCTTAAACTGCTTAATTGCTTTAGACTCTGTATGAATCACAAAAAAGAAATATATAAATTGCTGAAGCAATCATCTTTTCCTCCCAACTTCTCCCAGTGATCCAAATGGATGGTCAAATTAGAAAAATCATTATTAAAGGAAGTATACAAGAACGGGATCCTCAAGAAACTTTGTATTCATCAAAGCCTATAGATTCTATATTCTATCTTGCCCTAACTTCTTGACCATTGAATCAAGCATAAAGTCCAAAGAATAGTGAAAGTTAAAGTTTAGTTGCCAAAAAATGATGATTTTGATGCCTATCATTATTCACATTGATACATTCCAAATTCAAAGACAACATTTCATAAAGCTTTACCGTTATAGGCATTACTCTCATCCTGAGAAATATGACTATTCCACAATTGAAATCCTTCAACCCAAATATACACCTAAAAGTTAAAAACTTTGCTCTTGTAATTATAATAGTTTTCTTTATTAATGATGACCAGAGTATTTTCCTTCATAATGTTCCAAAAGGTGAAACTAAAAGTCTTAGGATCTGATTCCAATACTGAAACTTGAAAATGTACTAGTACAAGGAGAGATAATTAGAAAAACAACCTGAGAAAAATTGATTACATTATCAAATCCATACGGAAAGAACCACAACCAATAGAACAAAAAAAGCACCAACCGTGTCAAACACCGTGGACCTGACCCCTCTCTTCTCCAAGCTCAAAGCACAAAGAAGCCCTGCCATCCCTCCACCAATAATCCCCACATGTGGGTCATCAGAGACACTGCTTGTGAACCTGACCTGCTCCTGAGTTAAGGTTTTCTTGAGGATTGACCTCCTAGAGGTCCCATATGGTGATCTTTTGCGGTTCTTGGAGGTGGGTCTTTGAGTTTTGGTGGGTTTTGATTGTGAGTTGCAGGTGATGGTTAAAACTTTGTGGGGTTTATGGGAGAAGGCTGGCTTTGAAGGTTTTTGAGGATTGAGAGGGCGGAGAAATGAAGATGAAAGGGAAAGAAGAAAGCCGGCCATGGTTTTCCTGTGGGGAGGAGACAGAACAAAACCAAGTAGTAACCAAAATCTTGCTGCTTATATATCGGCTCTTATCCAAATTTGCCACTCAAAATGCATGGTAAAATCCTACTTTGGCATCAAACTTCCATGTTTTTCTCAATTAAGCCCCAAACTAATTTCTGGCCGATTGAATACCCTGCATTCCAATCTCAATTTTTTGATAAATGCCTACTTTTAGCCCATCATCTTACTGAATTTAAAGGTTTTACCCTTTCACCTTATATTATAACACTTTTAATCCTTTATCTTATTAGATTTGTAGGTTTTAGTTTATCACCTTATACTATGATACTTTTAGCCCTTCACCTATTAAAATTAAAAAAAACAGTCCTCACTTTGTAACATTTTTGTTTGTTCTATTAGTTAATTGTTAACTTTATTAACTGACTGTTAGTTGATTATTAGTTAGTAAAAATCTTTTTTTAACTAACGGAGTTAACAAAACTAACTTTATAATATTTCGTTCATTTTGTTAACTAACTATTAGTTAATTGTTAGTTGACAAAAACTTATTTTTAATTAACAGAGTTAACAATCAGTATAAGGTGGGGGTTATTTTCTTTGATTTTAATAGGTGAGGGGTAAAACCTATAAATCTAATAAGGTGAAAGGTTAAAAATATTATAATATAAGGTGAGAGGTAAATGTTAGGTCCTCTTTGTATTTTGATGATGATTTAAAACCATGATTCAAAAGAGTTTAATCTATTTTTGTGCTAAGTGTGCAGGAAAATTAATCCAAGGTTTCTAATCTTTCCCCACGATTAGAATTAACTCATGTTCTCCTTGTTCAGAGTTCTGGGTTTGAACCAATTTATTTTGGTTCGAATCAATCCCGAACTTTTGTTTTCCGAAAATGGTTCAAACCATTATTTCTGGCTTCGAAGCAAAAAATTCTGGAAGGGTAAAATTTTGACAGCTCAACTATCCGTTTATTTTTAATGGCCTTGGGGGAACCAATTGTCTGAGTGTTTTTTAAAGTCAAGTCAAAAACAATAAAGTAAGGTGGAATCCAATTGGAGCATATGTGAGGTGGCTTTGAAGGGCTAAATGGACTTTAATTACAAGGCTCCAAAATCTCCTATTATAATGATAAAAAATTCACATCTGAAAGCAACAGTGAAGAAGGACGAACTGCTTCAGAGAACTGAGTTTGAAATTGTTTTGGTTTTCCTTCTTCTTTTCTTCTTGTGAGGCTTTTGGGTATATTGTCTTACAAGGGTTTTGTATTCTTCTTGGATTGGGTTAATCCTTGAAGAGGTTGAGTGAGTTGAGATTCACTTGTGAGGGTTTAATCTTGCACCCGCAAGCAAGAGTTTGTTCTGGTTTAATCTTGCACCCGTAAGCAAGAGATTTCTAGTGGATTGAACTCTTGAGCAAGGAGACTTGGGGAGTGGACGTACTTCGGGTTGAAGGAACCACTATAAATCACGACTTGATTTTCTCTTCCCTCTCTTTTAATTTTCTGCACTATATTACTTTTGTGTGTTCTGCTTAATAGTTTATAAATTGCAGCTTTGATTTAAGTCTTGAAAGAAAAAGAAACAAGTTTTTAAGTTTAAATTGACAAGACCCAATTCACCCCCCTCTTGGGTAGCTAGTTGAGATTACAATTGGTATCAAAGCTTAATAAGGTGATTAGCTAACAGAGTTAACAAAACTAACTTTATAATATTTCGTTCATTTTATTAACGGACTATTAGTTGATTGTTAGTTGACAAAAACTTACTTTTAACTAACAGAGTTAACAATCAGTATAAAATTAGAGTTATTTTTTTTATTTTAATAGATCTAATAAGGTGAGAAGTTAAAAATATTATAATATAAAATAAAATGTTAAAACCTTCAAATTTAATATGATGAGACATGAGAGGCTAAAAAGTAAATTTTTGCCCTATTTTTAACTCTAAAATTTGAAATACAGCGATCCTACAACTGAAAAAGATGGGAATAAGGAGGCAATTTTCCAGATTCTCGCAATAGGGTGGAGGGGGAAAGAATATTCCTCTTGTGGGGCAAAACAAGGGGATTTTTATTTTTTTTGTAAAATTTCATAAAGAATTTTTTTTATTTTACATATTTTTATAAAATTTTTGTTTTTTGTGAAATATTAAAAAAAAAAAAATGAATCCAACTTAGTTTAAATAATTATATCATAGTCATTTCCTTCATTCTTCATGAGATTTCATGGGGATTACACTCATTGGAATGAGAGAGTATTTTTTCCTTACAAGATTACACAAAAAAAATTTTCTTACTCTATAAGTTCTTGCGGAGATTTCACTGCAAAAAATTATAAAATAAAGAAAAATTATTAAATCTGACACAATAAAGATACTCAATTTATAATAATAGATATACCCATTACTCATTTTTAATTTTAATTCAATATTAAAATTTAATTATTTGAAATTAAAACAAATCCAATGTTGGATCTGCATCTCTAGTGACCCTACTCTCTCAATCTCCATCTCGAATCCTAGTTTACCATATCATTCATTTTTAATTTCTCTAATTTGTTCTTAAATCATGAATGTATTGAAACTCTAACCCCAAGTTCCTAAATGAGACTTGAAATCACTCCCGTGCCTGAAGTTAGCTGATCCAATATTTTTTTTTCTACTTTAGCTTACCCCAACTATTTAAAATAATATAATAAAAATAATTAAATTAATTTTATAATATATATTAACAGGGGGTTAGAAATCCCCACGAAGACCCATTTCCTGTGAGTAATAGGAACGGGCGACAAATTCTACTCCTCGTTATAAAATCTCTACGAAGATGCCCGTCTTTGCGATTTGTAGCGATGGGATGAGGAGACACTCCTAACACCTAAGTCGGTCGCCATCTTTAGTCATATATCATATTTTTTTTATATATTAATCTCTTAACATTTGATAATTACATTAAATTTTAATTAATTTAAAATTAAATATAGTATTTGATAATTACATTAAATTTTGAGTAATTTGAAATTGAATTATATCATATCTCATTTGGAGGGAAACTTTTTTCGTATTTATTTCTCAATTCATAAAATTCAAACTCAAAACGTTATTTAAAATAAACCAAACTCATTTCACTTTAACCAATATATCATTGATATATATTATACAAATTACTCATTCTTTATTTTAGCCCCGCAGATTTTTTTTTTGGCCTTAACACAACTTTGAAAAACATTTTGTTATAAAATAATAAAATAAAAATAGTAAAATTAATATAAAAATAGGAAAGATAAAGATTAATTTAATAAAAAATTTGTACAATACTATTTTTTCACAAACACTGCATTAATATATCATTTTGCTTTCCATTTTTCCATCTCTCGTTCATTTCGTGACCTTAAGGCTAATAATGTGTGCTGAGATGAATTCAAAAATTCCAAGAATTCAGCATGTCAAGGCTGTTAATGGTTGATCGAACTCAAGACACTACAGATGGAGTTGTGGGAACATAGAAAGTATCATAATCCCATCATGCTGATTTTAACTGCTTCATATGCTTTCCCAAATGTTTGTTACATTTTCATAAAAATGTGAAATTATAGTGAATATATGACTATAGAATATGCAGTGTATAGCTTATTCTCATTATTTACACCCATTTTTGCAAAAAATATAATGGTGTCACGTATCATCCATGTTGACACGTATTTCATCAATGAAATATCTTTATAAATAAGGTTCAATGATTATTTCTACAACTACAGCAAAGTCATTCATTTGTTGCAAATTTCTTGGAGGATAATCAGCAGCATCAACAAATTAATCGATTTGATTTAGATATCACGCTGTGGTTGGTTTTTCAATATTGCTGCCACAGATCTCTAAGCATGCTGCCAATGAGTGTTTATTGCTATAAGTATGCAGAGAAGAAACAAAGAAAAAATACCAATCTCTCACACAATTAGCCCAACGCTATCTATATTTTAGTTTTACAAGCAATGTTTTAGTTTAGATCCAACTTTCTTAAACAGCTTTTTTAGTTAAGTCTTTCGTTCTACACTACCCTTAGTTTTAACTCTAGTTTTTGTTATTTCATTGTGAATATCTCCACTTGATATATTAGTTTTTTGCCTACACTTTTGCCCAAAATTCATCTTCCTAGTTTCTTTTAAATTTAGTTTTATGCTTCAATTTTTATTTCGTTTTTCGCATTTCCATGCTTTCACGGTGGCATCACACTTCCTTTCTGCAATTTAGTTTTCTTGCCATGCACTCTCTTTTTTCTCTTTTCCTTCATTTTTCTCTTTTATTTCGATCAGCAAACTAACATTTTAGCCATAGTTGTGGGAAGTTCCTGATGTTCTTCCTGGACAATTATTTATGAAACTTTATGTAGGAATGCACCCCCATTTTTTGCGACAATCGTTTGACTAGGGCATATCTTATAATTTATTTAACCGGTGCTCTTTCATTGACTCACAACCGAGTTTCACGCTTGAAAGTAGTGAGGGTTACCGGAAATCCTTCTTTCTCACTTTGAGCAAACTGAGTGACACGCTTGCCCAGTCTTCTTTGCCACGCAGCCTAAAAGGGAGATTTTGGAGACAACACTCATTAAGATGAATGTTTTAAGTTTTTATGTCTTAATTCTAAAGATTGCAAGTGATCAAAAGAATAATTGGTTTCGCCATGAAAAAGATATAGTAGATCTTATAACCGCTGTAAGTGTACAAGAGGTTGGTGAACTTGAAATTGAAGGTCCTTTTTTTTTTTAGTACCAACTTTTGGTATTCAAATCTATATTGGGTTTGACTAATCTAGAATTGAGATAAGTTAGACCTAATAAGGGGATAAGGTTTTTCGGTACTAATTTCTCTATTTATAAAATTTAAACTCAAAATTTTATTGAAGAAAATTAAACTTTTTTCATTTAGACCAATAAGTTGTTAGTTGAAATTGAACACTTTTAGTATAAATCATGTTTTGATATTTATTTTTTCTTTCCTTCAAGCACTGAGATACTGGAGGGAAGGACAATGTTGGATATTATTGATCCTTGTTTGAAGGAGGGTTCAAGAGCTGAAACGATGACATGCATACATATTGGGTTACTTTGTGTCCAGGAAAATGTAGCGCGGTTACCAACCATGGCTTCAATTGTTCTAATGCATAATTACCAACTGCTCCATGACTCTCCCAGCAACCTCATGTTGTTCATGCACAGTGCCACCCAGGCAGATATGTCATCTTCGTGGGATTTCAGCTTGAAGGCAACTGAATCCAACATAAATCCAGAAATGGAATTGCACCACCTTCAACAAATGAAGTTTCAATTACAGATCTAGAACTAAGCAAGATAGCATGAAGACCTTTTACAATTGTTGAAGCTAAATTCTCAGTGAGTTTGATATTTTGTCTGCTAGGATGCATGTGAGAACCATGAAAGCACAATGATTTAAAAAAGAAGAAAACTGAAACTTACAAGAAGATTAGAAACCCTTCATCATCAAAGAAAAATACATCAGATTAGAGTCATGCATTTAGTCCAATTAATGCATTTAGTCCAATTAGAATTAATAACTCTTTTATATATAACATGATATGTACCAATATGACTTACAAAACATATACATTTCACATCAATTCAAACCCACTAAAACACAAGTCATTGCAGCTGAAAAGAAAACAGGCTATTCCTTTCAGAACATCCATATGGTACTACAGAAATTCAAGAACACTTCTGAAATTGAGAGTTAGTGAAGCAAATGTTGGCTGTTTCATGACTGCACGGTCACATCAGCAGTGGTTTGCTCGGTGATCTTAGGAGGAGCAGTTTTTGTTGTCTCTTTTACCTGTTTTGATTGACCTTTAACCTTGCAGGTGCCATTACTATTCTGTCCGCTGACCTGACCCTTTGTCTTGGGGCTGTTTGTGGATTCTGTTTTGGTTGAACCAAAGCTGTGGCGGTGAGCCCTGGGACAAACTGCTACCTTTGCCTCCTGAGATGAGTTGACTGCATCACCGCTGCTCTTCCTCCGGTTTAGTTTTGGGGACTTGGGCCGAGTCAATGGCAGCTGCAGAAAAGATAAATATATGAATACAGATAATCTATTATCCATTATTAAACTGCAGTTAAACATAAGACATAAGAATTAGTTACTTTAAATATGGTGGCAACTTCACAAGGAGATAATGAAAAACCATTAGCTGGAATAACTTATTGCAAGTGCAAAACTAGTTTTCAGAGTCACTTATTCCCTTTTAACAACCATATAAAACCCAAATCACACCAGATTAGTCTTGCCATGTAGCTAAAATCTAGTCTCAAGAGATGAGAGAAGCATGTCAAATGAATAGGTGCGCTATTTGCCCACTCGATGAATCTTCATCCCTTGTTGATTTGCACCAACGGGTAACATACTTCCCTAGCTTAACTCTTCATGGACTCACAATGAAAAGAATCGAAAACAGTCAGCAGAGTACCTTCTTTAGTTCAACCTTAGGTGGAGGTCCCTCATAGTAGAAACTAGGCACTGGATTTGCTCTATAGACCATAGTCTTCCTAAGCTGCTTAATTGCTGCTTCTTGCTCTTCCTGCAAGAGAGGAAACAATAGTTGTAGAATCTTATCTAAGAAAGACAGATTCTTGGGATCCAAAGAATACAAGGGAGGCTGAAAAAAGGATGTACCTTGGTCCTGGCTTCACACTGGCTCTTCTCAGCCTCCAGCGCTTGGTGCTTTTCCTCTAACTTCACGTAGAACTGCTTAAAAAAGTCACAATTATGATAACTAGAACTGCAGTGTACAAAAAATCAAAAAACAAATCCCTGACAGTAGAATAGTCGGCAGAAAGGCTTCCAAATTCACTGGTTGTAATTAAGATTTACCTCCTTCCGTTTCTCTGCACGTTCAGCACTTTTAAATGATGGAGCTGTTCCAATAGTTACCTTGGTTCTAGCTGATCGAACAGATACAGCAGTACTAAACAAAGCTAAGGAAATCCAACTAAAATGGTGGGTCAATAAAGGGGGAAACAGAAGCAAAATTAATATAAAAATACATGTATGGATTTCAGGTGGAGACATTCAAAATATTGTTAACAAAATCCTCATAATTATCATATTTTTAACAGCTAAAAACAAAAAATTAGGATACGAGGAAGCAACAGACCAAGTATCATCTTCATCAGCATGCTTCCTATAATCATGTTGTAAGGGTCTCCTTGATGTCAGAGGAGAGTTTGACTGAGAGAAAGAGAGTTTTAAAAATGTCAGAGCCACCTTAATATCAAGAACCACAAAATATCCACCTAAGAAGAATTCCATAGTGCATTCAAACTGTTAAGTTCCTTTCACGCTCTAATAAAGCAAATTAAGTCGTTAAGGTTAGAGATCACCAATTCACACCAGCAAAGGTACTCAAATGGATAGACACAATAAATAAAAATGTTTAACACAAGTCAGGTTTAGTACAGAAAGTATGAATGTACCAAGCACAGTTTCACAATAGGTAAAAGTACTTGATCAGTTCAAATGGGGCAAAAAAAGAAGGGACCAAATTAATGAATAAAAACTGGAAGTGAAGCCCCTTCCACTCTCACATGCATGGCACATGTCAATTTTAATGTGAATCCTCTTCTCAAAATCAATCACAATGGCTTAATCTTGCTTGTCCTCTAGTGGATTGGCTCAGTTTCATGGCCAACTAAAGATACTTTCACAATGTGCTTGTTGGATCAGAAATTCACTGCACAGAATGAAGAACAAGGAGACAACAAATGACTGCATACAGTTATGAGGATTGCAGTACCTGTGAATTCTTTGTAGCCATAGGGGAATGCACATTGTTAATACTAGCATTTAACAGGCAATTTGCAGATGAAGCACGCCTTTCAGTAGCCAGATCAAATGGCTTTGGGACAGTGTGCGTATGAATACTTCCAGCACCACTCGCTTTAGATGCTGGCGAGCTTGACTTCTTATTGTCAGTGGACTTATGATCTCCAGCATTCTCATTTTTCCCCTCAAGGAGATCAGCATCAAATTTTTTGCTTTTGACACCTAGCACATCTTGCTTCTCATGAGCATTCTCAACAACTGAGTTTTCTTCAGTGCACTCCTTTACCTCATAGTCCTTTGACTCAGTATCTTCTGGGATTCTGGGAGCAGCATTAGCTTTGCCACGTGACATACCATTGGAGTTTACCACAACACCGTTAGGCTTATTGTCCATTTGCACGTCTGTGAGTTCTCTCCCCATCACACTGCTTCAGAAGCATAGAACGAACCATTAGAATGGCAAGAAGGAGGAAACTCAGTAGCATACTTTAAAAAGAAAAGACAGGGCATGGTAGAGGTTTCATACAGAGAGTATTTATTTCCATATTTTTTCAAATTCATCTTCACCACAAACAAATGACCTGAAAGGTCAAATATGATAATCTAATCTAGATGAATGTTGATTTTCAAGTATAAATATGGATAATCTGAATGAAATACATGAAAGGTCAAACAACAGTATGCCATGAATAGTATGCCATGAACCAGATTGCTCTTAGCATGCAATTTTCTAGCAAAAAGAAAAGGAGAAAAAGAAAAGAGAGAAAAAAAGAGAAAGAAGAAAAGGAAAAGCAAGCAATTTCAATTTGACAAAATATTTTGTCACTGAAGGAGGGGAACACTAATGATTACAAGAGTACTGAGGAAATCATTTGACAAAATTCCCTGGCGCACATAAAGATATCAGCAAGAAACCATGAAACATATTATCAAAACCCATTTTGTCAAGTAGATCTAGTCAAAGATCTGCATCCTACTTCCAGCTCTGAGATAAATTTGAGAGAATTCCTTTTCTTTTCCTAAAAAGAAGTTCTACGAGAAGAGTTGCAAAACATCTAAATAGGAATCAGACAACCCAAAAGAATAATATATCAGAGGGAAAAATATAGGTCAAACAAAAAACTACAGACCATGAAATTGAAGACTCGTTTCCCTCACAAAAAATTACAATAATACAACCCAGAAAGGAAAAATATATCTAAATTATAAACAAAGAGAAACAAGGTATCTTCTTTTTCTTTTCAACCAAAAAAAAGAGGGAGGGGGGCATCCAGCGAAAAACAAGGGAAGTAAAAGCACCATTTTTTCGGATGAGCACATAAATCGAAGTAAATTTAAAGCAGGGAGGAGGGAAAAGAAAGAAAGGTCCAGAAATCCGCTCTAGTGATACACATACCCAAATGGATTGAAGACCCAAACGAAGTACCTCGTTGGATTGAAGACCCAAAAATCAAAGAACCCCCAATACCCCCAATAAAATGCATGCAAAACAATGCAGAAACACAATTAAAAACAAAAATGCAAACAACCCAATTTCTCTTGACCAAAATAGCAAAACGCCATGATTTCAAAAACCCAGATGGGATTAAAATAATAAAAAATATATTTAGCAAAACCCCTTGAGTTCTCAACAGGGAGAAAAGCATATAGATAAGAAAGGAAACCCCAATATTTTAAGAGTAAACACTGAAGTAAGAGCAAAAAAAAAAAAAAAAGAAAAAGAACCCAGATTCACAAAGCACCCAGATGAAAATACCTTGACATAGACAGCATTCAAAAGATCAGCCACAAGAAATAAATGTCACAGATCGAAGCACAATGCTTAAGATAACAGAAACAGGGACACCAAGAACAAAGAACCGAAACCAAAAGGGGTAAGCACCTGTGGACTTCTCGCAGCTCCAGCACCCCCGATCTGACAAGATCTTGATTCCCCTGCTCCCTGGGCAAGGTGATGAAGCAACCTCAATTTTTTTCTTTCTTCTCTTCCTCTCTCTCTCTCTCTCTCTCTCTTTTCTCTCTCTCTTTTGTTTGTGTGTGTGCTAAAAACAGACGAAATGCTTTGTATGATTTTCCTTTTATTTAGCTGCGACTCTGAAAACTGTGGTTTTTTAATTCTTCAGCAGTTGGTTATTTATAGGCAGTTTTTTCCGTTTTTAACTGGACGGCATCTCTTTGTTTTAACGCCGTTAGATAACAGCGATTTACTCGCTTTGTTTAATTTAAATAGTTATAATTTGATTTTTTAAACTTTATATATATGATTTTAATTACACAACCAGAGGTAATTTTTTTTATTTTTTATTTTTTATTTCATTTTATCCATATGTCATACAAGTTAAACTTAAAATTTCTTATTTTCAACAAAAAAAAAATTACCACTTATCTATTTAGGGGGTTGGTAACTTTAGATATATTTTAAATAAATATTTAATAATTTATATTTTAAATAATTAAAAAAATTTTATATAAAATTTTTGTCAGA